GGATTGCTCCTATCAAGCACCAGACTACACAAGGAACGATCGCCTCGCACGAAAACCCCACGTATTCACAGCAATGGACTCGAGTGCATTCAAGACTGCCGCTCATTCTGATCAACAACCGTGGATATGGACCATCCCGTGTTGTGATCCAGATTCTCCCTACACCTTGTAAACAACTGCAACCGCCGATGGAAACGGATACTCGCCAAGCAAATGGCCTTCAAAGCAGAGCCTTCTTACCACATCTCAGTTCAACACCCCGCTGAAACACTCAAAGAACACTGGGCGCTAACCAAGAATGCCGATCAAGACAACGGTGGATTCTGGCTCCTGATCAGTACACATACGATGGATCTCCCCGACCTCGGCTACCTTGCTGAATGTTCGCACATGCATTCATCTACAGACAACTAGGACTCAGCAAGCAAATCCTTAAAATGCCAACTAAGAGCCTGAGGAATGACCATAAAGAATGATGGATAGTAAAATATAGAAATGGAGAAGGTTGCGGCTATTGGTAAACAGTCGTAATCTTTTCCGTCTAATTAGAAATATAGGTTCAAGGAACTTAGGCGTGACGTAACTAAGGATTCCGATAGCAGACTGATTTACATTCAGTAACGATGGGATGAACACTTAAAGGCTTAATTCAACTGGCCACAGTCAACTTGAAACTGAAACTTGTAACCTCCTACCATGACTGCGCATATATTGCCAGTTGATATCAAACCTCCATCCGAAATGGAGGATCTATTACGCGATCTATTACGCTACAATTTCCCACCCATCGTACAATTTATCACTTTACAGAGGTTTCCTGGGAAACAAGCTATATCAAAAGGCATAAGGCCTTCGGTCCGGATGGGCGGTCCCCGTCACCTCTCGCAGATGGAAGTTCAGTGTTAGTCTTAGAATTGACGAAACTCCTGGGTTCAGTATGGAAGAGTGAGTATGATGTGAGTCGAGCATCTTACTGATTTACAACGCGATGGGTCATCTTGTGAAAATCACTGAGTTAGTTTGAGCACGTGCATAGTGGACGCGTGAGAATCAGGCTGGTTTCAGGCCCAAGTTTCAGCTTCAGTTTTTACAACCATTAACCAGGCATAGTGTCAGTTTCGAACGACATTCGGATTGTATCGAAAAATCGATGCAATATGCGATATGTTTCATATAGCTTGTAAATGTGAAAACACGATGTCGGTACGGGTGAAAATAAGCCGACCTTTCGGTTACCGTGGGTAGCCTTTATCAAGGCGATTTTAAAATCTGCCATCCCTGCCCCGCCTCGGTAAACATCGCTCGCCGTAGCAACCTATCTGATGACATGCGTAACACATGCCTCAACTAACGTAACCTATGGAGGTCGAATACCTGCTCCAAGGGGCGCCCGTGACCACCTAAAACTCTACGCCTAACCTCAGCATTGCTCTTCCGGTTACCACACCAGACTCTTGCAATGTGACGTAGACGGCGATGTTCGAACACCGACAATTCATTTTTATCGTTTTCCCGTAGTAGCCAAGTCTCTGTACTGTAGAGCAGCACTCGCTGAACTGCTTCAGCATATACTCGACCCTTCACAGACAACCGGATGTCGCAACGGCGTTACAAATGTCTCAAGTTGGCAAATGCCAACCGAGCCTGCTGTGTGTGAGCTGACACTTCATCTGTGATGCGTCCGCCAGGTGAGATATAGCTTCCCAGGTAGCAAAACTTGCCTACTTCCTGTACTAGTCAAGATTGTATAGACCGCCCTTCGGCAAACTTTGGAACACTGGCATTCTTACCGTAGACGCCTATTTTATCTCCATCGCTATAAAAGTGGCCTTCAACTCTCTATTTTTCATTTTTACCCCCTTTTATTGAATATACAATGATATAATTCTCCGAAACGGACAAACAGCCAATCAAAGGGCTGCCATACAGCACACAATCGGGAAAGTTAGTCGAATCAGTCAACAACTCCATATTGTCGCAGGGGTTTCCCATGAAGGGTATGATGGAATGGTTCATTTTTATATTACGATTCTTTTATACTAATTCAGTTTCAGTTTGTACAACGATTAATCACGCATATTCGTGCTCCGGTTTTAGTTGCTGCCTTCTGACTGCCCATTTGGATGAAGAATAGAAGAAGAAAGGAAAGTTGATAGTGGAATTGAACAGAAAATGGAGAAGTTCAATAGTCTAATGTTGCAAAGAAACTAAGCAGATGCAAGAACGCCACTGTTTACGACACCCAGCCATATCACTCAGTGTCTCTAATCATCGGTTACGGTCATCCCGAGGTCCCCAGCCAGGGAGCCTAACAGGACCTATGTGACCCAGTCTCCTGGTTAGGGTTTTCATACCCTCGTGCCAGG